TAATAATAAATCAATATCATCCCAGGGGCCACTGAAAACATTCTCGCGGGCCGGATTTGGCCCGCGGGCCGGCACTTTGACACATGTGGTCTATGTGATGCATATTTGCCAGTCCAATGTCGATGTACAAATGAGAGTTATGTAAGATATCTAAGAAATCCACTGTTTTGAATAAACAATTACATAAATGTTATGATAAACAATAATTTGTACTCAGCATTAGTTAAGTCAGTGTTTAAAATACTTAAGAAATGAATCTATTTTAAATGAATTACACCAAGGCAAGAATGATGTCATTTTTCAAAATGCATAAAAATGCAGGCGGCCCGGTGATCCAGTGGTTAGTGCGTAGACCTCACAGTGCAGAGGTAACGGGTTCAATTCCAGCTCCGTCCTCCCTGTGTGGAGTTTGCATGTTCTCCCCGGGCCTGCGTGGGTTTTCTCCGGGTACTCTGGTTTCAGTGGCGGTTCTGGGGGGGGGGGTGCCCCTGTAGCACTGATTCTGGCCCCCCCTGTGGCCCCCCCTCCGAACGTAGAATACGCAGTGGCGCAGAGTTGCAGATGCGAAATTTGGAACCAAAGTGCGTGGCTTAACATTCTAGTCGGACCCTTTAGTGTGCTGCACCACTCAAAATTGAGCGGGAAAATGAGAAGCAGTCCGCGGAGAAGCAGATTACCACGACACGAGTGCTATGTTCGACACGATTTATATTTTCAATGTAAAATCACAAAACGAAACAAGCCCCCAACAGTAGCATTATTAAGTCTAATTCCTCTTCACTTAAACATTTAACGTTAAAAATGAAAAGAAAAACTGACATTACATTATATTTCTATATGAAAAAGAAACACATTAATCCAGACACAGAGAGAGAGTCAGATGATGATAGTGGTGAGAGATTTGAAGAGGAGCAAGTTGAAAGCACCAGAGAGGGAGAGACAGAGGACACGGGCTTTATTTTCAGAGCGAGGACTCAGAGCAGGAAAGGGATACAAATGAAGATCCTGAGA